TGTAATCTCAGTGACTCGAGACGGAGGCAGGAGGCCAAGTTTGAGGCCAGCCTGGGTAACTAAGAGACCCTGTCTCTAAAAAATAAAAAGGGCTGGGGGTATAATTCAGTGGTAGAATACTCCAGGTTCAATCCCCAGTACTTAGAGGGGGGGGGAAAAAAAGTTGGTCCAGGGGGTGAGGGTGTAGTTAAGTGGTATTGTGTTTACCTGCCATGCCCGAGGCCCTAGATTCAATCCCCAGAATCACAAAAGGGGGAAAAAATAAAATAAGTAAGTAAATAAATAAATACAGCCCCAAAGAGAGGAGTCGTGGGAATCCTGAGAATTAGGCCACTGGGATTTAATGGGTATGAAATATGCACAGGCATAACAAAGTGGACCTCACCTTCCATAACCTGGGGGCCATCCTTAGGCGGGCAGGTATTCTTGATAAGAGACCAGCTTTTGAGCCTTCGAGGGTTTCTCTGCTCTTTGTGAAAGCTTTCCCTGGAGGTACCCCCATGGCCTGGCCCCAGAAAAGGGGGTTCAGCACTGACCCCCCACCAACCACGACCATATGGGCCAGACCTGGGGCCGAGGCCTCCCCGGATTGGGCCTCTGCCCCGGGGAGGAGGTGGGAGACTCAGCAGTGGTGGAATCTTCAGTCCCCTTGATCCTGGAGGACCTCTGTGAAGAGCTGGACAAAGAAAGACACAGAAAGGTGACCAATGGGCAGCTTAATCCTGACACAGAAGCCTGATCCCTCCCCCAAAGTACAGCATATAGACAAATATAAACCAGTTTTAAGTGCACAGCTCAATTATCACAAAACAAACACACCTGTGTTTCCACCACCTAGGTGAAGAGATAGAGCCTTATTAGCACTTCAAAAGACCCACCCATGTATCCCTTCCCCCTCCCCAAATGTAACCACCATTCTGACTTGTAACATCACAGATTAGTTTTTGCCTGTTTTTGAACTTTGCATACATTAAATCATACAGTCTGTATTCTTTTGTGTCTGGCTCCTTTCGCGCAACATCATGTTTGTGAGATTCATCCAGGTTGCCTGTAGCAGTAGTTCATTCATTTTCATTGCAGTGTAGTATCCCATTGCATGCATACAAACAACTGATTTATCCATGCTACTGATGATGGACATGTGGGTGGTTTCCAGTTTGGGGCTATAACAAGAAATGTTGCTATGAACATTTTTTATATATGTCTTTGTTACACATACGTATGTATTTCTGTTGAGTATATAGGTAGCAGAGGAATTGCTGGGTCAAAGAGCGTATGCACATTCAAGTGTAACAGATAGTCAAGTTTAATAGATATTGTCAAACTTTGTTTCAAAGTAGTGGTACCAATTTACACTCCAAGGAGTAGTTCCATAGCCTCAAAAACACTTGTTATTGTGTCTTTCTGTTGTGAGAAGTGGCAGACTGTTTGTGGTTAAAAACTACATAATATAAAAGTTTACCATCTTAACCATTTTTAAATGCACAGTTTAGTAGTATTAAGTATATTCATATGTTGTGAAACAATTCCCCAGAACTTTATTTTGCAAAACTTAAACTTTATACAACTCCCTGCCCCTCCCCTGGACTACTACTAACCACCATCCCACCAATTCTTTTTCTATTCCTCCTTCTTTTTTTTTTTTGAGATGGGTATCTCACTATGCTGCTTAGGCTGGTCTCAAATACCTTCCTCCTGCCTCAGCCTCCTGAGTAGCTGGGATCACAGGTGCATACCACAGTACCCAGTTTTGTTTCTTTGAATGTGATTTTTAGATACTCATGGAAGTAAGATCATACCATCTTTTGTGACCAGCTTATTTCTTAGCATAATGTTCTCAAGGTTTATCCAAGCTGTAGTGTATGACAGCATTTTGTTTACACCTTTTTTTTTTTTAATCCACTCTTCTGACAATGAAAATTCGGGTTGCTTCCGGCTCTCGGGTACTATGAATAGTGCTACAGTGAATCTTCAAGACCCTCCTTTTAATTCTTTTGCATAAAAAATCCAGAAATAGGAGTGTTAGATCATATAGTAGCTTTATTTTTAACTTTTTGAGGAATTTCCATACTATTTATGAAAGATGGTTGTACCATCTTACAATCCCCTCAATGCAGTTCTAATTTCAAAGTAGTATGTTTAATCTTGCATTTATTTGATAATTAAGGATATTAAGTAAATGGTCACATGTTCTTGTATTTAGATCTCCATTTTTATAAGGTGCCTTTCTTTTTTTTTTTTGTCAATTTTTCTAATGGACTGTCTCAGAAAGAGTTCCTTATATATCTTATATATAAACTCTTTATTGATTACATTTGTTGCAAATATCTTCTTCTCTAAGGCTTTCTGTTAATTTCTTAATGATGTCATGATTAACACATGCTTATCTGATGTTTAATTTATCAATCTTTCTTTTATAATTAGTATACGTTTAAAAACTCTTAGCTCTTCTCAAATTTACTTTCTAAAAGAATGATTTTCACTTTTCACACTTCAGTTCACTTGGACTGACATTTGCATCTGATCACTGAAATCTGAAGAAGTCAGATTTCATTTTTTCCACATGAATGTCCAATCAGTTCAGCTTCATTTATTGAAAATACTACTTCTTCAGTTCTACCTTTACATACACAAAGTGTTCCTAGATCTGTGGGCCTATTATTGGATGCTAAACTGTTCTATTGACTTATATATCCATTACTGTGCCCAAATCACACTTTTATAACTACTGGAGCTTTACTGTAAGTCTTGGTTTTCATAGTAAGCCCTCCTACTTTAAGAATGTTTTGGTGGTCTCTCACCCATATCCTCTGCATTTTCATATAATATTTATTTCCACAAAAACATGACAGGTATTCTGAGAGGAAATGCAGTGAATCTAGAGATTACTTTAGGAAGAAATGACAACTTTTACAACATTGAGTTTTCAAAGACGTGAATACACAACTTTTCTCCATTCATCAGATACAGAATCCTCAATTTTTTTACTTTAAGTCTTTGATGAGTTTTACTCCCTCCCCTGCTCCCTTCCTCTGGGCCTCAAATAAAAATCAGGGCCCTTCCTCCTCACCTGACTTGGGGTCACCAGGCTTTCCATTGGCCATGGGAGGAGGGCCCAGAAGGCTGGGTGGTCCTAAGAGTAGACACGAAAATATGGTCATCAAAACAGATTAAAGAACTGATGTTCCTTTATGTGTTTTTGTTCTATTACTCATTTCTCAATTCATTCTGTAAGATCAATTATGTTCTCAACGGTGTTGCAAATTCTCACCTCGTCTATCTATCCTTTGTAAAGCTGCTTCAGGTTTGGCAAAAAGTGGAGACTCAATCAAAGGGCACTGACAATTTATCTTTGCCTTACACTGCTACTATCCATAACATCCCAGGTGATTTCAGAGATAATCCAAAGGTTCAACCTTTAGTTGCTGGCCAATCAGACCTTTCCTCAGGGGAGTGGTTTACAGAAGGCTGTACTTCCACCTTCCCTGTGAAATGTGGTCACAAATTGTCAACCCTGTCATCGCAATGTGATCTTTACTGCCCCTCTCCCCTGCCATTCGGCGGCTGCGGAAAAGGGCTCTTTGCCCTCTCCTCCTCCGCCTGGTCCAGAAAGGTTTGGGCCTGGGATTGAGCTTGAGGGTTCAAGCAGGAGAACTCCTCATTCAAGGTTCTACCATCAACAGGCCTCCTCTGCCCCACCCCCGCGCGTGCGCCCTTCCTCCTTCCGTTAGAGCCCCCTCCCCCGCACTTTAGCAGTCCTAGCCCCTCGTCTGGAATGGCTGACAAGCATGTGCACACCCTTCCCAGGTCCCTCACCTATGGGACTCTCATCCTCCTCATCTCCAGGCTCTTCCCGCTCGGGCAGTGGTGGCTGCTGTGGCGGCGACTGCTGTTGCTGATTCTGCTTCTTTCGTTTCGGCATCGTGGCTGCGGCAATGGCTGCAGCGGGATTTGGAGGGCAGTGAGGAAGGGGCACGCTGAGATTCTGTTTCCGCTTCCGGGGGGCGGTGGGCACTGAGGCCAAGGTTCCCGCCACTCCACTTCCGGAAGGCAGCTGAGAACTTTTTGCTGTGGTTGCATTCTCATGTAAACCGCCTCCTTATATCTCTGTCAGGCAGAGCGAAAACACTAACTCTTCTCTTTGCCGCGTTTCTACAAGTGCTTAAAAAACTCTCTCCACGGTGAAAAGTAGCTTTCACAGTGCCACAGAGTCAGCAAGCTTTCGGGCCAGAAAGCCTGAGAGGAAAGGCCTGTCGCGTCTTAAAATCGCCACATCCGGTCCGCGGTTACTATGGTAACGGCTGCAGGCACAACTTCGTGCTCTCGGACCCGTCTCCAAAAGTCCTGTCCCAACTGGATTTCTCTTCTGGCCTGCGCTTGCACTTAGGATCTATAAGCCTGCTTCTTCTCGTCGTTCCCACAGGGAATTTGGGTCCCAGCAGGTCGGCACCCAGAACCTCCACCCGTCCCTCAAGACCTCTGACCGTGCCCCCAGTGTAACACATCAACCTGGTTTTATTCCTTGGGACGCGCAGTCTCGGCTTTCCACTAAGGTCAAGTTCCCGGGTTGGTAGTGTAGCTTCAGCGTGTCCACGCCTCCCTTTCCCCAGGGTAGTAGGACCCGCCCTCCTCCTCTCCGCCGCCCCCTCCAGGTGAGTGGTAGCTTCTCCTCCGAGCGCAAGGTAGTGATGACACGCGTCCCCCCTTCACCGGGCGCTCGTTGGTAGAGTCCGTGACGGAGTTCGATCCTCCCACGCGCGCCTCCTTCCTCGCCGCCGCTGCGCCTTCTCGGTGCCACTGGCTCTCATGTGTCGGTAGCCCACCCCGCATCACCCTCTCGCCTCACTTCTAGAGGGAAGTGACTGTTTCCCCCGTGCGCTTTCCATCCCGACCGCCGCGGCAAGTCGGTGGTGCCCTCCCGCTGACGTCACCTGATAGCTCCGCCTCCTCAAGGGTCCCGGGCCCTTGCGGCGGGGACTACGGGGGGGGGGGCGGGGGGGGCGGGGAGTCAGTTGAGGCGGCTGTAGCTCGGCGAAGGGCGGGCCAGGTGACTGGTCCGGGCCATGCCGAGGAAGAAGCCCTTCAGCGTGAAGCAGAAGAAGAAGCAGTTGCAGGACAAACGGGAGCGGAAGCGAGGTCAGTGCGGGAGCGGAGGAGGGGGCGGGACTCGGGCTCCCGCACATCTGGAAGGAGGGGTGTGCCTGCCGCACCTCTGGGGGGCGTGGGAGGGGGAGTGGGCTCGCGCGGATCTGCGTGGGCATCCGCGGAGGGGATTCCCCCATTCCAGCGCGCCCCCCCCCCTTGTCTGGAAGGGATGGGAAAGGATGAAGAGTTGGGGGAGGGGAGTCCCTCCAGCTCAAACGGGGCGCCATCCCAGCAATTCCCTGGAAGAGTGACTACCCCCACGCACACCCGGAGGGTCCTGGAGAGGGAGGCCCCGAGGACCGAGCTTCAAAAGTAGTTGGATGGGCTGAAGGAGAGCCAGGAGGTCTAGGTAGGGGGGTCTTTTGGCCCCTGAGAGCTAGCCTGCACTGGCGTCACTGTTCCCTCTCTGCAGGGCTTCAAGATGGGCTGCGCTCCAGTTCCAACAGCCGCAGCGGGAGCCGGGAACGACGGGAGGAGCAGACCGATACCTCTGATGGGGAATCTGTGACCCATCAAATCCGCAGGCTCAACCAGCAACCTTCCCAGGGCCTGGGTCCACGAGTTTATGATCCAAATCGGTGAGGGAGGGGTGAGGGAAGGAGTGGGGCTCTGGCCCGGGCTTGCCCGCCTTCTTGAAAGTGGGAGTGTTGAGGGAAAGCTAGCTGCTGTTGGTGGACATTTGAAAGTGGAGAGGGTGAGGCCGGAATGCCACTGTTCTCCCGGAGCAGGCCATAATTCTCCCTTCCAGAGCGACCCGAGAGTTTGGCTTTTAGAAAGGGTTGGCCCTGTCTTCTATGAAAGGGGGACTTTCAGGGAGGTCGACTGAAAGGAAATTTGAACAATTGAAGAGAAGAAACTTTGTTTTCTGTGGGGGATAGGGTAGGGGTAGGGGTTGTGGTCTTGCTGGATGTATGACACTTCTTCCCTTAGATACCGGCTTCATTTTGAGCGGGACAGTCGGGAGGAGGTGGAGAGGAGAAAGAGAGCAGCCCGGGAGCAAGTGCTACAGCCCCTCAGTGCTGAGGTGTTGGAACTGGACATACGGGAGGTCTATCAGCCTGGCTCAGGTGAGTGAGGACAAGACAAGACCGGTGTTTCCCACCCAAGGGGCTTGGAGAGTTTGGAAGGGTAAGGGTTGACAGTGAGGAAGCAGGGGTCTAGGATGCACACTTTAATACTGAAAACATCCTCATACTTGCACTTCTTACTGTTTTCTCAGTCCTGGACTTTCCCCGGCGTCCTCCTTGGAGCTATGAGATGTCCAAGGAGCAGCTAATGAGCCAGGAGGAACGAAGCTTTCAGGAGTATCTTGGGAAGATACACGGGGCTTATACTTCAGAGAAACTCAGCTACTTTGAGCACAATCTAGAGGTGACAATAGAATGGGGACAGGAATGGGGTAGTGTGATCCATGGACAAATTTTTCTGGAATCAGGCTGGAAAGGAATTCTGGGTTCAGATTCTTTTCTGATCTTGTCTTTTCAGACGTGGAGGCAGCTATGGCGAGTGTTAGAGATGTCTGATATTGTCTTGCTCATCACTGATATTCGTCATCCAGTGAGTACTTGGGATGAGGGTGGGCAAGGGGGAAGAGGATCAGGTTCTTATGGGTAAAAGTCAGAGGTAGAATTTGAAAAACAGAGAGCTGTCCTTCCTTTCTTTTTACCCTATCTACTGTGTGCTGATATCTGCAGTCAGGAACTAATTTTTTTGTTTGTGTCTTGCTGTAGTCTGTTGCTTCTATCCTGGCTAGCTGACTCCTTTTTATGTCCTCTAATGAGAAGCTGCATGTCTTGTCTTACAGCATCACCAGAGCTAGACCAATAGAAAATCCCACTGTGTGGGGCTGGGTTGTGGCTCAGTGGCAGAGTGCTTGCCTAGCACATGTGAGGCACTGGGTTTGATCCTTAGCACTGCATAAAAATAAATAAAATAAAAGTATTATGGGAAAAAAAATTCCAGTGTGAAGCTCCAGGGATTCTAATGAAGGCAACTGGGGGCTTCCTCCTGCCCAGCCCAAAGATGCCTTTTCTTCCTTATTTCATTTCTCTAGCCTGTCTACCTCGGTTGCTGCAGAAACTACCTGGAATGTTAGGGTGGTAGTTAAGGCTATAGGCTGTGCTGCTGGACTGCCCTGTGATTCCTGATTCTGCCACTTCATTGTGGTCCTCCAGTGGAGAAAGGGAGGTCTGTGGGGACATTTAGGTTGGAAGTCCTTAACGAATATGTACACACATATTCACAAATACATGTATGCATGTGTATATTCATACACAGAGGCACATTTACACATACTCATGTTTGTAGTCATACATGCTCAACACATAAACTTGCATCTATAAGCATATACTTGGATGCATGCTCATATGCATGTGTACACACTTGTACAGTTATGTGCACACAATACATAATAATTTCTACCCTGACCCTCATTTCTATTCCTGATTCTAGTCTTTACTTCAGTATGTAAGGTGTTGCTATTTCCTTATCTTATTTTTGGTTCACTTCAAATGCTAATCATGACCTGTCGGAAGCCCCCTGAGACTTGCACAGGTATCACTAACCCCTGCTTTGTCCTTCTTGTTCAGTTTGGCTGATTTACTGTTTTTACCCCAGAATTTGCTACTGCCAGGGTTTTGTCTCTTCGTGAGTGGGGAGCTGGAGACAGAGAACCCTGGGATGACCTCTCATTCTTCTATCCCAGGTTGTGAATTTTCCACCAGCACTTTATGAGTATGTGACTGGAGAACTTGGTCTGGCCCTCGTGCTGGTCTTGAATAAGGTGGATCTGGCTCCACCAGCTCTGGTGGTTGCCTGGAAGCATTATTTCCACCAACACTATCCTCAACTCCACATCGTCCTTTTTACCTCTTTCCCTCGGGACCCCCGCACTCCACAGGACTCTAGTGGTGAGTGGGCTTTGAGGAGGGCAGCATGGGAGAGATGGTTGACAGGGGGCAAAGGGAAAAACAGAGAGGCTTGTTGGCAAGGTGGTGCCTAACTGGGGGCCTGAGGGTGGTGGGAGAGATGAGGTGTAAAAGCCTAAGCATAACTGCTCTGTGCATTCTGATCCTAGTCTTGAAGAAGAGTCGGAGGCGGGGGAGAGGATGGACTCGGGCCCTGGGGCCAGAACAGTTGCTGAGAGCCTGTGAAGCCATCACTGTGGGTAAAGGTGTGTGATCCTTGGAGGTCATGGGGGAGATCTAAGATCCAGAATCATTTTGTTACCCTCTATTATGGATGGGCACAAGGGGGATAGAATAAAGAACAGACTGGCTTGGTGGGACAAGAGAGGCAGGAGATAGGCAGAATCCTTAGTGGATTGCTGCTTTCAGTTTTTCTGGTACTTTTCAGAAACTCTGAAAAATGCATATGGCTCAAGGGTGGGATCAAGTGAAGACTGGGGAGATTGTGGTCTGCAGTTGTGCAGGTTGTCACTGTGAGACTCCAGAATATGCTAGTGACACCAGCTATGCAGCTATGCCATCATACACAGAGGCCCCAGGAAACCTTCTTTATCTTTTTTCTGAACAGTGGACTTGAGCAGCTGGCGGGAGAAGATTGCTCGAGATGTGGCTGGGGCCACCTGGGGCAATGGCTCTGGGGAGGAGGAGGAAGAAGCGGATGGGCCTGTAGTCCTGGTGGAACAGCAGACTGACTCAGCAATGGAGCCAGCTGGCCCAACACGGGAACACTACAAGGATGGGGTGGTGACCATCGGCTGTGTGGGTAAGGAAGCAGCGATCTGCTCACAAAGGCCCCAGAAGTGCTGAGTTTCAGTATTTGGAAAGGAGGGATGATCTGTCCTTATTAGGCCCCAGGATCTTTGAGGGGTGACTTCTGCCAGTGGTCTTAGGCAAGGCAGAGGAGGCCATCTGCTAGTGTGGATGTAAACTTCATCTCTTCTCAGCTGTATGATTTTGAGCAAGTTCTTTGAGTCTCAGTTACTTTGATTTTAAAAATGAGGATGTTTATACCCAGTTCAAAGAATGAATGTGAGGAATATAAAGGAGTATTGTTGAGAGAGTTCAGTGGTGTCTGGCAATAGTAATATTAGCAATTGCAGTGATTATTATTAAACGTTAGCATTTGTGTGCCTTTTACTGTGTGCCAGGCATTGTTTGAGTGATTTATACAAAGTCATTGTTCAGCTGTTATTAGCCTCTAATACAGGGAATCATTAAATCATAGCAGGTCACAGTGTTAGTTTTCTCCTTCGTTTTAACTCTTTAAGTCTGTGATGGGGGGAGTCTCTTCTTGATTAGAGCTTTGTCTCAGATCCTAGTGGGGGAAAATGGATATATGATTAGGTTCCAGGGCCCCTTTCATCTTGGGTTCATCTTGGGTGAGAAGAGACCTTGGCAAAGTTGTACTTGAGATACCATTGGAACCATAAAGGACCTAGCCCATAAATCTAGGAACATGGAGTGGCTAGTAGATAGATAGAAAGAACCCCTGACTTATCTCTCAGTGTCCGTTGTGTTTGTGAAAAACATGCTTGACTGTTGAGTGATTACTCCTCTTTCCCTGCACTGACTTCTTTCCCTTTCAGGGGCCCTTTTTCCTCTCAGTAGCCTCTGCACTAACTTGTTTTTAGGGTGGTATGATAGTGAGAGTTTTTGCTGGGTGTGGGTATATCTATTGGTTTTCATTCATTCATCCATTCAACAAATATTTGCTGAGCACCTACCAAATGCCAGGTACTGTTCTAGGGATGGGAATACTGATGTGAAGATAAAAGAAAGCATCTAAAACTCATGGAGCTTGTTTTTTTGTGAGTAAATGTATTAGAGATCTGAAATCATATTATTTCCTCTCCCAGAACTCTCTATCCGAGAGTTCTGGGAGAGGAAAGGTCCTCTGGTGAGAGGACTTAGGTGAGAAAGAGTTGGGTAAGAAAAGGAAGTAAGCCATTCAGAGTTCTGGGGAAAGGGGCTTGGGAGCCAGAAGTGTTAGTGAGTGAGAGGGTCTTGAGGTAAGAATGGGTTTGGTGATACTGGGATCAGCAAGACTGTCAGGGAGATTGCAGTATGAGAGCCAGGGAAGATAAGGAGGAAGGCAGGATTGCCAGGCACCACATCATGTAGGGTGTTATGGCTATGAAGTGCATTTTGAATTTTATTCTCAGTCTTAATGAGAAGCTAGTGGTGGGTTTTGAGCAAGGAATGACGGGATTTGATATCCTTTTTTAGAAGTTCTACCTTTGAGTAGATGAATGGTACGAGGTGGATAAGAAAGGAAGCAAAGAAAGTAATCAGTGGCTACTCCATTAGTCTAGGAGAAAAATAAGAATTGCTTAGAGAGAGAAGGGAGGAAAGAGGAAGAAAGGGGTGGTGATGACACAGAGACAGAAACAGGATATATTTTAAAGGCAGAGAAAATGAGACTGCTGATGCCTTGCATTTGGTACATAAGAGAAAGCAAGGGATAAAGAAGGACTTCCATGTTTTTGTCCTAAGCAGCTGGAAATACTGAGCTGGGAAGACTGGAGAGAACAGGTTTGGAGGACTGATGAGGAGGGAGAGAGGAATCATAAAGAATCAGAAATTAAATTTGAGATTGTTTTGAAATATCCCATGCAGAGATGTTGACTAGGCCATGGGTATAGGAATCTGGATCTTAAAGGAAAGAAGAGGACTTGAAATTTGAATTTGAGTGGTCTTTAAATTTAGGGAGCCACTGGTGTATATAGGTGGTATTTAAAGCCATGGGATTAGATGAAATACAGTGGAGAAGTTATGTGAAAGAAGAGGAGGCTAATGATTGAGTTGTAGGGCAAGCTTGCACTTAGAGGTTGGAAAAAGGAGGCAGAACCAGCAAAGGAGAGTGAGAGGAAAGAAAACCAAGGAAATGTCTGGAAGTGAAATAAAAAGTGCTTGAAACAGAAAGGAGGGTTCTGCTGTGTCAAATATGGCTAATAGGAGGAGAGGAGAATGCAGTCTTGTTCAGTAGGTATGGTGATGTGTTCAGTGGTTTGGAGGAGAAGGAAAAATATGTGAGATTCCCCAATTGCAACAACATGGGGAAACTCATGTAATGTGTGGTTGGCACCAGACACAGCAGTATCCATGCTGCACAATTCCATCTGCATAAGTTCAAAGACTACAAAATTAAATCACATTGTCCAGAAATGCACAGGTCATAAATTAACAAGAAATGTAAGAAGTGGAATCCCTCAAAAGTCAGGATAAGAGAGAGGGGGTTATAATGGAGAGGGACACATGGGGCCTTTGAGCAAATATGTCACACTCTGGGCTCATGGCTGGGTGCTATGGAGCTCCTTGGGCTGCACATCCATGTTCTGTGTGGGGTTTTTTGTATGTTAAAGTTTATACTCACAAAGAAGTTGGCATATAAAAGTGGTAATAAGAAATAGTAAGTCTTTTAAGGAGTTAAGGTTGGAAGACAGGGAAATGGGCTTGTCAAAGAATTGTTTTTTCTCTCTCTCCTTTCAAAAGAAGATACTTCAGAGGCTGGGGTTATGGCTCAGAGGTAGAGCGCTTGTCTAGAATGCATAAGGCACTGGGTTGGATCCTCAGCACCACATAAAAATAATAAAGTGGAACCTAGATACCCTTCAATAGATGAATGGATTAAAAAATGTGGCATTTATACACAATGGAATATTACTCAGCACTAAAAAATAACAAGATCATGGCATTTGCAGGGAAATGGATGGCATTAGAACAGATTATGCTAAGTGAAGTTAGCCAATCCCTAAAAAACAAATGCCGAATGTCTTCTCTGATATAAGGGGGGTGACTCAAAATGGGATAAGGAGGAAGAGCATGAGAAGAAGACTACCACTAAATAGGGAAGAGAGGTGGGAGGGAAAAAGAGGGAGAAGGGGAGTTGTACAGAAGATGGAAGGAGACCCTCATCATTATACAGAATACATGTATGATGTTGTGATGAGAGAAGTCTCTTTCTGTTCTATCCTTTAAATAAAACTTGTTCTCTAAAAAAATAAAAAAATAAATAAAAATATTGTATCCACCTATATCTAAAATAAATAAATAAATAAATATTGGGAAAAAAAAAGAAGATACTTCATTTTATTGAGAAGCTCAGTCTGTTTGTCAGTGTGGCTTTTCCCAGCCACTGTCAACTAACTGCCCAGCAGCAGGTGTTGCATGGGCAGACAATTGCATTTTACAGAGTTGGGGTTTTGCCTGGAGCGTAAAATAGAGGGGAAGAGGTGGGACCTGGGAACTCAAGATGTATAGGTGCAGAATTGGATCATGGACTTTGAGGTGGATATGAAAGAAAGTGAGGCAATGAATCAGTGTTGTATAGTGTTACCCTGATAGAGTTAGGGGCAAAGAACTATTGGGATGGAGGAGCCAGAATAAGTTAGCTTAAAACATGGCATGAGGAGTACTTGGGGAATTGAGACTTTGGAGGTATAAAGTGACAGGGCCTAGTGTGACCTTGGGTGTGGGTAGCTGAGGTAGAGTGAAGGAAACAAACTTTGAGAGTGAGATTCAGGCATTGAGGAATCAGAGTTCTGGACAAGAGATCTGTGTAGAAAGTGGACTTGACCAGAAAGAAGGTGGTGGTGGTTGTGAAGAGAGGGGCAGTGAGCCCAAGGGCTGCCAGTCGTCTTCTTGGACAAGTCACGATAGGTATTATTAAATGCAAATCTCACCTGTGTTGAGTACTTTGTTGTAGGCCTAGACCTGTGCAGTTGTATCTGTTGTCAATGTTACCCAGATCCACTCTGAGGTAGGAGCTATCTGTCCTATAAAATGAAGAAAAAGGCTCAGAAAGTTGAGTAAATTGCCTTGAGGTCACAGAGCCATAAGTGGGAAGGCTGGGATTCACAGCTGGCAGCCCCAGGGCCTGATTTATAGTTTGCAGTGTTATACCACTTCCTTAAATTCTGAGCCCTAGTTCCCCTTTCATCTGTAGTCACTGAGTCCTGCCTGCCACTGAGCAATGGCCTAGTAGACATTCACTTTCCTTGCCTCCCTCAGGTTTTCCCAATGTGGGGAAGTCCTCACTGATCAATGGACTCGTGGGGCGGAAGGTTGTGAGTGTCTCCAGAACCCCAGGCCACACCCGATACTTTCAGACCTACTTTCTAACCCCCTCTGTGAAGCTCTGTGACTGCCCAGGCCTCATCTTCCCCTCCCTGCTGCCCAGGCAGTTGCAGGTATGAGGGCCAAGGGTTTGGGGGCGGGGGGGGGGTATGGAAGGCAGGATGCTGAGGAAGATCCTGAGTGCTGTTCCTGCAGGTTCTGGCTGGAATCTACCCCATCGCCCAGATTCAGGAGCCCTATACTGCTGTGGGCTACCTGGCCTCCCGGATCCCTGTACAGGCCCTGCTTCACCTGCGCCACCCAGAGGCTGAGGATCCCTCAGCAGAGCACCCCTGGTGTGCCTGGGACATCTGTGAAGGTGAATTTCATACCTGGGTACAGCTGTCCTCCCTTGCCTGCTGTCTCCTCCTCTCTCCCTTTACCTTGCTGTCCTCTCCTTAGATTTTGCCAGGGTGAAGTGGCTGTCCACTCATTCTTAGGATTTTGGACAGGACTACCAAGATCTCTGGCCTGGAATGTTTTGGGTGGTGGGTGACTGGTACCTGATACACAGGCTTCCCTTCTTATTGCTCTTTTATCCCTCCAGCCTGGGCAGAGAAACGTGGTTACAAGACAGCCAAGGCAGCTCGGAATGATGTGTACAGAGCTGCCAACAGCCTCCTGCGGCTGGCAGTGGATGGCCGCCTCAGCCTGTGTTTCCATCCACCAGGCTACAATGAACAGAAAGGTCAGAACCCAGATATTCTTCCCTACCTCCTGTTTTGGGGTGGGCAAAAGTGGCCAGGGGGTCAGACCTGGTTCTGTACCTGTTGGCCAGCTTTGTACTCTTTAACATCTCTGAGGCAATTTTCTCATTTGCAAATGAGGATAATAATCACCCTCAAGCAAGATGGTTGTGAAGATTGAAATTGATATACCCGAGTGTCTGCTCAGGGATCTGTATGTGGGAGGTTGAATGAATGAACGGGTTCCAGCAGCTATAAGAATTATTGTTATTCCTGGTCTTTGCCTCTTCCCCATCTTTCTCTGGCTTTAGTTCCTTGTGCAAATTCTTCTACATTTTTTTTCTTGTTTTGGTTCCCCAGGCACCTGGGAGTCTCATCCAGAAACCATGGAGCTGGTGGTTTTGCAGGGCAGGGTGGGACCATCAGGTGACGAGGAGGAGGAGGAAGAGGAAGAGCTGAGCAGCTCCTGTGAGGAGGAGGGAGAGGAGGACCGGGATGCAGATGAGGAGGGAGAAGGGGATGAGGACACCCCAACCTCAGCTCCAGGGTCCTGTCTGGCTGCCCGAAACCCTTATGCCCTACTGGGTGAGGACGAGTGCTGAGTCCCCGCCTAGTATCAACTTCCCATTATCTTTGCTTTTGGACTGACCTGGAGGCATCTCGCCTTTGCCACCCCAATTGTGAATAAAGATTGTCTGCTTTGTAGCCCCTTCCCCAAGTGAACGGAGGTGAGAGCGGTAATTATGGGCTGACAGCTGTGGGAGATTTATCTCCTCCCCTCTATTCTCATGCATTCCCTTTGCAAAGGAAAGTTCTCTTAGGAATTAGTTCAGTGGGTTCTTAGGCCCTTTGCCCACTTTCCCTCTTTGCACCTTAAGAATCCATTTTCCTCATGGAGAAAAGAGGTCTAAATTCAAACCTCCTTTGGAGTTTGTGCCATTCAACCTGATTTGAGCTGCAGCCCTGTGCGCCCCCTGCTGCCAGTCCTGGGTTATACCGGGAGCTTCTGGGAGAAGAAGCAGTAAGAGGTGTCATAAGCTATCATCTCCAAGTGAGGTTTTTACAGGGATTTTTCAGAGTCCACAAATATTTATTGAGGATTTACCATGATCATATAAAGATGCACAAGCAGTGCCTGGCCTAAATTTGAAGCCTGGGCACAATCAAGACCCCATTGGGCACCCAAGTTTTTGGATTAAGCATGTTATATAATCCTGGGGGCTCACACAGTATAATTCTAGGACTTTCTATTGATATAGATTTTTAGTTAAGACAAAATGCTTGTGAAAACATTGATTAAATGTGTACGAGTAGAGAATTACTGCCAAAAAACTGATGTGCACATTTATGATTTGAGCAGAACAGCCCTTAAAGTACAATGTTAAGTTTCATTATTTAAAAGCTTGGCAGCTAACAGTGTACAAGCCACATAGGGGAGGGCACAGAAACAGCCTTTGTAGTCCATTTACCAAAGATGACCCAGTCAGGGTCTGAGATAGAAGTTAGCAGGTGGCCAGAGCCATCTTAGGGTCGTTTCTACATTTCAGCAGAGATTTGCTCTTTTGTGAGTCAGGGGTACTTAGGCCTTGCTGGGATTCACCCTTGCTAAGCAAGCAGCTAGACTCTTAGTTTGAATTCCTGGAGAAAAGGGAGACTGGGCTGTGTTTTATTGACTGCCACAGTGTCCTCTGGGTTGGGTGGTAGCAAAAAAGTGTAGTTTTATGAGTTAACCACTCAGTGCAGGGGTGAGGAGAAATGGAAGGATCAGATCCTCTTAACTCAGAAGCATCCCATTGAGGTGCTGGGTCATGGAGCAGTTTCTTTAATGCCAGCAGAGACCATCAATGTAAGAAACTACATTGAGAAGAGGCCAAGGTGTTTGGGCCACACATTCTGACAGGCTCCTTTAGTCCAGTGAGAACAAAAGTCCTGAAATTTGCATTCTAGTACAAAATTTAAATAAAACCAGCATATGAATGTGCTTGAAGGCTACCCAGGATGTGCTAGAAAAGAGAAAAAGTCCTATTTGAAAGAAATCCACCTGTCTTATCTAGGGGCTCAGCCTCATAAATAGGTCTTTTAATGAAGGAAAGGTGATTCTAGCTTAACTGAGTTCATGATATACAGAGATAGTCAGGCAACTTCAGTGCCTCAGGAGATGTGGTGAGACATTGGATTAATTTCACTTGTCTTGGTCTTTTGCCATCTCATAAGTTTCACCAGGAGCATCTGGGACAAAGATTGGGCACAGAATGCTGATGGTGATGACATAAAGAATTGTGATCAGGAGCTGGCTGGGCTTGGGGAACTGTGGAGGAGGATGTTTATGTTGAGGACCTGGCAGGAGGCAACCCTTATATACCCAAGGGCTCGACTACGTGATTTCCTGAGCCTCTGTCAGTGACTCACTCCACAGGAAAGTAGCACCAGGAAAAGGTAGTTACATTAGGGACAAGCAGGTCAGGGAGAAGGATAGATAGTGCTCCAATGTTAGTGTCTAAGACTGAGGTTAAAACTTATTCAAAGGACAAAGGAAACCAGGGTCCAGTCTCCCTTCTATGCTGACCTTCCTAGAACCCCTGTCCTTACACCCCTCTTGCCTGGGTCATGTCCACTAAGTGGATTACTTGACCATAGAGATCTGAAGCTCTGGCAATACCCACAGCTGGCCAGTCTCTTGGAGAGAAACCAGGGCTTCTCTCATCCATGCTGGAATTTCATTTAGATGTAAACTTTTTCCCAATCTTTCCTTCTTTCAGATTGGATTCTGTCTTGATTCTGAAACAAGTATGTGTGTGGGCCAGGAAGGTTCAATTATCTGAGCCTCTTGTTTCTTCATTTCTTAAACTCATTAATACAGTCAAAAACTGGTTGAGAACAGTCTTGTCAGACATGCTGAGTTCTGGGACAAAAGAAAAAATTGAACAAAGTATTGACTCTACCCTCAAGGAGTTGAACTGCCAGACACTAAATAGTAAAATAACTTTATAGCACTGTATAAGTTATGAAAGTGTTACTTGTCATGTATCCATTGTACTGTCATATAGTTGACATAATGGATAATAATCACCCCAAGGATTCATTGACCCACTGACCATTTTTTGAGCAATTACTGTTTGCCAGTTACTGGTAAGTGGGTAGAAGGAATCTTTTGTGGCACTCACAATTTATTGGAAAATAAAGACAAATAGACAATTTTAATGTGGGGGAAAATTAGACAATTTTAAAAAAGGGATATGAGACGGGTGGTATAAGATCCCTTGGGATAGTGGTGTCTTCATAAGACTGAAAAAAAGCTCTATGAGAACCACCATAGGAGCAGATTAGCCAGTCTTGGTGAGTCAGAGGAAGCCACCTGCGGGTACAGAGAGCTCCAAGTTGAGCCCTGAAGATTGGGCAAGACTTAGGCTGATGTGGAGAGACAAATATTCCAGGCTGAGGAGACAGCAAAGGTTGAGGAACGTAACAACTTGGGGAGGCTAACATGTTCAACATGGCTGGGGCAGAGTGTGCCTGGAGAAGTGGGGGAAAGTGAAGATGGAGTGAAAGGTTTGGTTCAGCTCTGTGGAGCCTTTCCAGCATGTTTAAAATGTCGACTACCTAGAGGAACATTCAAGAACTTTAACCCTAAGATTAAAAAGGAGAGAGTTAATTGTGCCTTAGCTCACTGGGTGCAGTGTGATAACTGGTTTGGAAACGAGGAGAGATCAGAAGCTTTTGCAGCCATTTCAGGAGGAGAGAATGGAAGCCAGAAACAAGGTAGTGGCAGACGGAAAGAAGATAGTTTATGAAACGCTTGGGAGGCAGAATTGACGGGTGTTGGGATAGTTTTGTGTGTGGGGAAGGAAGAGGGTAAGTCAAGAGTGCACATTCTGTTTCTGATTTAGCAACTGGATGGGTAGGCTGATTCCTGAGACAGGGTTTGTGTAAGTGGAGCTTGGAGAGAGGTCATAGTTGCGGGCAGAGATCTGGGCATCATCAAGATGTAGGTGGGAGAAGAGTAACAGGTCATGTACAGAGAGAGTGTAGCATGAGGAAGAAAAGTGTATAATGTATGAAAGGGCGGGGTGGGGGTGGGGGTGGGTGGGAGAGGATCCAGTGAGACCAAAGAAACATATTAAGTGGAGAGCCATGAAACCAAGGGAAAAACAAAGATTGGGCACAGAATGCTGATGGTGATGACACAAAGAATGAAGAGCTTTCACTGGCAGCAAAGGATGAGTTAAGTTCTGTTGGAGAAGGAAAGTTGAGGCTTTGGAAGTGGGGATATAAATTTCAAGAAGTTTGATTGTGATGGCGATGAAAAAAAATAGGGAAACAGAACATTGACTTTGGAGTGTTTAAACTTTTAGGCAGAAACCACAGTGGAAGAGAAAAGTTGAAAATTCAAGAAGGTGGGGATTGGTGATGGAACAAGCCTCCGAGAGAGGCAGGGTGGTCCTGGAATCCCAGTGCAGGAGTAGCCTCAGGCAGGAGCTGGGTAGCTTCTGTCATAAGAGGAGGAAACAGCGCTGACATTCAGCCGTCTTGCACTGGTACCGCTCAACCAGTTATTAAAACACTTCTGTACCAGTTAGTAAGTAGTGTAAGAGTAACTGCAATAAGCAGTAAAAATAATTCGTAAGTGGGCTTACCGCTGCACCTGAGAAGCTTTGCAGCGCCATCTGCCAGTGCGGCAGCATCACTGCAGGCTGAGAGATTGCTTTGCACTTGATTTATGAAACACTAAAACTGCCTGTTTTAAATTACCTTTGAACTGTGGAGCTGCTACTGCTTCTAAACAATTTAGTTTCTTTCTTGATTTTGTTGCTAGTACATTGTCATTCTTGTGCCAGTAGCAAGTTTCAGTGTTTTAATATTTACAAATTCAAGAATTTTTAATAAAATATTAAAGCCGAACTTGAACAAAGAGACAACAAAGTTTGGATATGTTTCTTAATGTGCCTTTTGAAATATTATAAATGAGAATATTTTTGTTCCTCAGAAGAACAAAAAAGAAATCACGTTAATGAGCTGCAGCCTGGAATGTCTTCTGTTATGAAAAAATCCACAAATAGTTTGGAAATTCTTTCTGGCTTTTTATTTTGAACATCTCCTAACACACAGTGAAAAAGGACAATAAATACCTAAACACGGGCTGGGGATGTGGCTCAAGCGGTGGCGTGCTCGCATGGTGTCCGCGGGGTGCTGGGTTCCATCGTCAGGACCACATAAAAATGAAGATGTTGTGTCCACCACCGAAAACTAAAATAAATAAATGTTGAAGGATGTCCCACCCCCCCAAAAAAAAACCCTAAACACATAACGTAAAGATTCAGTGAGCCCTGCCATTTTGCCATTTTGCCTCACTAACTTCTACTTATCTTACTATTCACCTGCCTATTTACTCTTTTTCTTTTCTGAACATTTGAAAGCAAGTTGCAGACATCATGATCATTCATATCTAAATAACTTCATATATACCTCTTACATAATCACAGTACAATTATGTCTAATGAATTAATTCCTAAGTCTAACAGTTTATGAACTTAAATGCATTTCTAAGCATTTTTTATTTCTTATTTTTTCTGGTTTTATTATGTTTCAATTTTTTGAGCTTTATTAAAGTATAATTGACAAAATTCTTACAGCACTGAATATGTTTTGAGATATAAGATTTTCAAATTCCACACACTGCGTTATTTAAACTGTCCTCTCCTCTCCCCTTTTCTCTTTAATCTAGA